AAAGACTTCATCCTTTTAGGCCGGTGGAGTTTGGTTTCAATGTCCTTGCTCCGAGCTTGTTAAGTACATTGGCGAATTCTTCGCAGGCCACATCAGGGGTCAATGCAGCTAAGAACGACCAGCTGGTTGCATCAATGAGGTCGAACAGGTCTTCATATTTGGTTACGACATGATATTTCTCACCATGCTCTTTAGAATAATCAGCGTAGCATGTATAATGAAACACTAGCGTCGCATGATCACTGCGGCCCAAAGGAGTATCGGTTATCACACTCTCGACCATCAGTGCTTCATTAATGATTATTCGGTCCAATATGGATGGCCTGTCAGTTCCCCTGAATCTGGTGGGCGTGGTGACAAGGCCATAAAGCGGGAAGTCTGAAACTAAATCTTGCAGATCTGCTTTGAGTTGCTCTCCTGGTGTGGCCTGGGCTCCTAGAGCATGTGCTTTGAAGTCGCCGGTGACTAGAATGAGACTGTACTTCCTGTTTATCACGCCTCAACGCAGCCATCAAGTTTCAGTCCATCACAAGAGTAGACGATGTTGAGCGGTAAACAACAACCAATAGGCCAAGGTCGTTCCCTCTCAGCCGGAAATTACACCAAATGGCGTCAGGTACGTCGGCTTCCGAATCGCTATGGGTTAGCGTTACAGATTTTTACGAAAGTAGAGAGCTACCCCACCATCTTTGCTGGCTCGATCCTTCTGGACCACGGACATGCCTGTTAGCGCGATTTCAGCATCCGTTATCTCACAGCGCAACCACATTTCGGTGACAGCGATGAGGTCCCAAGCTGCAGACGCGTGTCAATGTCTTAATTCAGCTAGTTTGCTGAGTAGACCTTGGGCATTTGTGTACATGCATGAGAGCTTCTCGGAGACCGAGAGTGTGTTAGATTGGATGGATAAAGCAAATGAGTTTGCGCCGACCATTAAAGGGTCGGCGACTAATCGTTTTTTGGTTGGGTTGCATACTCTCGAGAAGTATTTGATATATAAGCAGGTGTCAGGTGCCCCGAATCCCGGTGTTTGCTCGTGCTCTGCAGTGTCACTCCGGATATTATAGCCACTGTTGAAACTGTCTCCGAGTCGGGTCCTGCAGTTGGCGTATTCATTAAGAGTCGTGCCTCCACTGAATTGTCATTAGAAGGTGCTGGTGTTCCTGCTGCTTACAGACAAATTTCTGTTGGCAAGCTGCAACGGAATTTAGTCCAGTTCTCTAGTAGGGTTTGTGCCGTTAGTTCTGACTGTAACACAAGTTTTAACAGTCTGGGACCGCACCCCTTATAGTTTGGTTATATGGGGATTCTTGTCAACGAGGTGGCCACGACATTTTCGAGAGAAAGAGCGTCCCGGATGTAGTGCTATTGCTCGCGGTCGTGCATCTGAGCATTGTCGGAAGAGCAATCTGTAAGCTCAGGAACACCGTGAGCAATCACTCTTTTCTTAACTTGACGTTTTCTGTACCTCTCTCTGTTAGCGGGATCCGCTGAACGTTCCTTCCACGATATTTCAGATAGTATGCGCACTCCACTTGAGTCGTTGCGGAGACGATTCGCAGACAGCAGAACGGCCTCAGTCTCGTCCGCCGAGTTTAGTGTTACTCAAAACTAACGGGGTTCACAGTCGTGCAATGCGTTTGAATGGCGCGAGATTCTTTTTAATATCGTGGAATTAGCATGGACACCGATCGACGTACAGATGGAACCCCATTGATAGCGATCGTCTGTTAACCTACCCTTAATTGTACTGGATTTGGATTCGGGGACATTTGTGCACACAATGTTTAAGACACCATGGTTGCGCCTGGTGGCTACTGGTTTTGGATTTGGAGCCTTAGTATCCGGTGTTTTTGATGAATTTGTGAATGGCACTGATGGGTGCCATCCGTGCTGCGACAATTTTGTTTTCTCTAGTCCGGGCACAAAGGTTACCGGTGCTCTTTCCGGTGTTTGCTTGGCGGCAACCGATGCCTACGTTGTAGGGTTGTTCACTATTGCTGCTTGACTGTAGCTTACGGTCTCGTGTGTAGCGAACAGACTAATAGGTACAGCACACAGTACAGAAGTTGAGGCAGGCGCGCTGCAGACAATGTTTTTACTTATAGGAGGGAGAGAGAATGGAGTTGGTACTGCTGAAGGCGGAGTCGTTGGTGTTAGGTTGGGACGCCGGGCTCTCTTATTCGGCCTGACTAGGAATTCGGGATGTTACTTTCACTTACAAGTGCAGGTCCGTTTCCTCCCATGGGTGTAACTCTGGTGCTCACCAGTTGCTCGACCGCTTCTGTTAGTCTTTCACTCCGCTTCTGTAGCACAGCTGCACAGCTAACAAATGGGATAGAATCGCGTACTTGGTAGAAACAAAACGCCTCTGCTGTGTTAGGGTACCGTTTTGTCGGCCCACTCCCAAGGCAGGTAGTGTGACAGGATTTCAAACACATGGTACACACCAGACCATTTTTAACCACTTTAGTACATGATTCGCATTTGCTCTTCATACGAGACATGTTCACATTAGGTGTAGGGGTAGGAAGAGAAGAGAGATACTGACGCACTCTGTTTAACTTCGTTTCACTTCTCGTTGCGTGGCTCTCGACGCTGATTTGAGGTCAGGGTGTCAAACGTGTTGCGTCCAGATGAGTTACACGTTCCTTAGGGTAGATAGGCGACGTGCATGCTATCGATCCAGCCGGTAAATGGATAGGCAGCGATGCAGCGTAGGATTGAGGCAAAGCAAGATGACTTGGAAAATGCTGTCTAATGACGACAGTGGCTGTTCCAAAAGGGGACTAAGTTGACAGCTATCGCTTTGTACAGCGACTTGAAGATGATCGGGTGACTTAAACTAATCTTTAAAATAAGACCACAAGAGCTCTTGTGCGACGAGAGGAAAAATAAATGCTTCGATGAGGTTTCAACACGGTTGACTTTGAAATTACGAAAGCACAGTTGCTGGTGATCCGCGAATGACAGATCCAGAAGCAGACCAGTAATAGGAGGAGCTCGCGGAGCCGAATCGTATGATAGTACGTTGGTCTCTGTGAGAATAAATCCGAAGATTTAAAGGCGAATAACGCAGGAGGACACTTCTTTCGCGACCGCTCGGGTCATAGTAGACAGGGTGATAGGGTCGCAATCCATCCACGCAACGGGTACTTAACAATGACCCTCCAATCGACTGTTTCTAGCCAAATTGTTGTCTCGGTTCTGCTGTTTATTCGCTAACTGGGCTCCATTTTGCTTAAGACTGCTGGTCATGTCAGATATCTGTTGGTTGCACTCTCTTGACTCTAATGCTTAGACTTTATGGTCCTACTAACTGTAGACAAGTTCAAGTCATTAAAGTAAGCTCTATGCACCCATATGCACCCACATTTTCCGTATCCTACGCTATCACTGTGGATAGCGTACAGCATAGCATGAATAAGAAAGTGTAAATTGACAGAAAAGGCGAAGAACGTGTATTTTGACTAGAATTTATTACGGTCCTACAACTGGGAAACTTCTGTTCGCTGCACTTCCCGAGCTAATGAGCTATTACAGAGGACCCAACATTCTGCCTACCCAGTTTCTTCACCACCGAGTAATCTTTTTCCGCGTTATCCCAAGGTTGACGGGACACCGGCATCTTTGTATGAGAGTTGCAGGAACGAGAAATGTAAAATATAACTCAAGTGGGTGCTCTCTCGATATTGCACATCTAGGTGCGTTCCTGCAATCTATGCCTTTCCCATATGTGGGGTACGTTTTTACCAGATTCTCGTAAGCGATGCTTATGACACGAATCTTTTCTAATTCAGACCTCGTCTTAATAATTGGAATAATCCAGCTTTAAATCAGAACAAATCCAGTCTCCTATGAAGTCCAAGTCAAGTCAAAATAAGCTTTGTACACCCAAACGGTCGCATTTTCAGCATCATGCATTATCACTGCGGATATCATTTAGCAATTTGACGGAAAACTGAAAGACGACACTTTCACTCCAGCACGGCCACGTAACTGTTGTCTCATTCCTATTGGGTCGACTAATATGTGTGATATATGTGATGAGATAGACTTGCAATACGACGGGGTACGAGAATATGAGTCTTCAAATTTGATCGCGCAGAAGAAATGCATACTGTACTGGCCAGAACAGTGTATATGCGGTGAAAGGGATCGTCTAGAATTTCCAATACATAATTGATGCATGCAACAAAGTAGTTGCTACAATAAACTCAACGAGATAATGTTCCCTTCATTCAGAGCGATTGGCGCTCCGGGAGTTCTGGAGATCATAGCGTACCCAAATAAGCTCTGCTATAAAAACTAACACCATTCTGCTATAGAGAGGCGTTGCTACATTACGAAGATAACGAAAACAGTACTCCGACTATCGCTCATCGCCGCACGTTCTTTGGTAGGTGAAGAATGTCCCTGTTTCCAAGTACATGTCTCGAACCGCTGTTTGCACGAACCCAATTCAGTTCACTTACTCTTCCTCGTAACGCCGCAATTATAAACAACAAATTTTTTTGGAAAAAGGAGCGAATGAAACTCCAACTAACTAGAGTTACTGTAGCGAAATCGGAACTTGCGAAGTAAACGTCTAGCTGGACGGTTAGATGCCAAATGTTATAACCCAAATGCAAGAACATTACAAGCTTGTCGATTACGTCACACTGGATACGGATTTTAGCCACTACTGTGGCATATCCTTGGAATGTGGTTCAATAGCTATGCTCTTAGTTAATATTCTAAATCAAAGTCGCATATCTGCATTCCATGAGGCATGGACTACAGCTATTTACTTGAATGTTCTCTAAATATTTAATGATTTGTGTTTATCTCTTTGCACGCCACACCGGCAGTTTGGTCTAACCTGTGAGTCAAAGACTTGCCGCAGTAGGAATGCGCACGCTTCAGTCACCTGCTGGTCTCCCAAATGCACGTTTTTGACTGGAAATCGAGCCATTCGCTTTTGCGATTCGTGTCATAAGCTGAGACACGGCGACGACCAGATGACTACCCAATATCAAGAGGACGATAGCCAAAACACAGAGGAGACAAGTAGGAACCTTATGGATGTTGAAGCAGCAGATACTCCAGGGCAGCACGTGTACCAAGTAAGTTTGCTGGTGTTTTATCTGCGTAAGTACAATTAATGGTGAATATTGTTTCCGATTCATTTGACAGTTTTTGTACGAAAGCACCAGTTACATCGACACTTGAAAACGCACATAATAATAAAATATATTTTTGTGCTACGGATAAACGGTGCCCACCAAGTAACGGATCAAATTCACATGTACAGCATGCTCACATATGCGAGGTTGTCAGTGGTTAGCGGATATGCAGGAATGCGATAGATACATTTAGGAAGATCATTTGGGGTTTTCACTATTGTTTCCTATCAGAACACGAGCATCCTCGGATTTTTCCGGTACTAATCAAGGATACCATAGTGGCGCGAGTTCAAGGGAGACTGTATTCATCAATGATCTAGTCACTAGGTGGTAGCATTTGCAAGGCGGATGTGGGCAAAGTTATCACGGAGGTTCAGTTTACTACCAGCTTCATCAAAATTGTCTGGTCCGATATAACACAGTGAGAACTGCTATTAACGGTGGGAAGCTAATCTCACAGACAGAAAGTTGAAGACAGACTCTGCTGTTAAACGCAAATGCCCGCATGACTACAAGTGGTTCCGCCAGACCCAAAAATGAAACATAAAGCTTAGTTTCCATATATGACTTGGGGTGACTTAACTGTTAGATGGTGTACGTAGCCAATTAGTTCGCAACCCTATACTCCTTGGGAGCGAATTCGGTTGAGCTTCACTTATCGGACGCTACTCTCCTGCACTAGCTAAAAATTAGCCTACTACACAGACGCTACGAGTGTGCTTTATTCTTTTCGTTTTCCTACTTTTTCTTGCTATACCTAGTACCCCGTTCAACGGTGACGCGGGATCACCATCAGGCAGAGAACCGTTGCTTAAGCACCGTTCGCAAGTCCATCGTTTCCATCCCAGATTGGGATAAGGTTTATTAGGCCAGCACAAGGGAAGAATAGATAAGCTACATACACAAAAGGCCTGTGCGTTAGTCTCTGGCAGTTAAGCTTGTCAGTTTGCATGGATGAGATTTCTATTCAAGGTTTAGTGTGGTCACTTTGTCATTCTTTTCACCCGTATACGGTGTTTCTTTAACTGTTTCTTATCATTACCTAGCCTCATTGTGCTGCAACTTCCGGTCTCTCTACTAACCTAGGTTCAATTGCCAGATCTATGGGATATGACTTTGGACGTCCAAGCCAGCATGGTGGAAGCGATCGTTTCCCTGACCCGAGAGACCGCACCCAGGTGGCGTCAGGTTTTGTTCGGTATCGCAGGTGGACCCGACGAGCCAGCCACCCGAGGTGTGGTTGGAGTAACCAGTAACGCAGTCAGCTCCCCTGGTGGTCCTCCAACATCCGGTGACTTAATGATGCTGCGCGTTAATCCAACACCGACATCTGTCGGTCTGGGACAGGTAGTTTCATCCGCAACTGGGATGATTCAGTCGGGAAGTGTTGGTGGGCCCCTCACTGGAAGTACCGGTAACTTGGGCCTTCCTTTGCATACAGAAACGGTGAGTCCCAAACAAGTATGTTAAACAGTTTGTGACTAGAGACGAAGACTTATTGAAGGCGTTGTTGGTGCCAGGTCCAATTTCATGGCTTGAATGACGGAATTTATGCTGTCCTTTGAAAATTTATCAGGCATCTTTAAATGTTTGTCTCAGTATACGACATACACCAATGTGGTTGTGGTGCTAACCGCCTCACATCAACTGTGCTGCTTATTAAAATTTATGGGGTAATATGCATACTGGTCCCAGTGACCAAGTCATCCTAGACGATGGATGAATAGATGGATTGAATAAATCCGGATCAACCAAGCAAGTGAACCGACTTGGGTGATAAGAGCATTATGGGCAACGAAAGTTCGTCTACGACTTGTAACAAAGGTGCTTGTGCAAACGCACTTGACGATCTCGATCTAGAGAAACGTCTCGGCAGATTTCAAGACGTGTAATGCAACTCACATCATAAATAAAAATTGTCCATTATCAGTCACCAGTGACAATAGAGAACATTTACAAGCACCTAGGAAAAACACTGTCATCCGTTTACTGACTAGCAGATCCGAGGTTACTTATACTTCTTTCTAGACACAGATTAAGAGCAACTAGTTAGATTACTGTGACCTCAATTTGCCGTAGAACTTGCAAGGCTACGGAGCGTAAGCATGCGATCCGCACTAAACTTCTCGGTTTGCACTTGGTGGGCGATGTATAAAAGCATTTCTTTGCATGCAGGATCATTCCTTTCTATGGACTACACACTGGGGGCAATGTATGCAATGGTTTGCGAAAAGCGTCTTCCACACGAATACATCCCCCGATAGTCTCGATCGCAAACGAAGCTCGCTATGCTCATTTCGTCTGTCCTGCAACTGTCTGTGTTTGCTAACTTTGTGCTTGTAAGTTTGTCACTGGTTCGTAGTGCTCAGCCCATATGCATAAAGGCGATGGTGACCACCGCTCGAAACTATGCACAATATTATGTCAAGATTTTGATGGAAGTCATCTTGGGAATTAGTCACTTCGAATAGCCACAGATTATCAGTGGTTACCAATAATCTGCGATGCAGTTTCCAACTCCAACCGGACTTGTAGCACCCAGATCATCACCATGGTATCATGCCACTGATATCAGTGGTGAACTTACAAAAATAACACTTTTGCTCTCACCACAATGGTTAACACTCCAGGGGAATGAGTTAAATATTTCACCCCAAACTCTTTACTATGCGAAGTCACATGAACTTTACATCCGAATTACAACGATAGAGCTTTAAAACTAACTTCATGGCTCAGTGACATAAATCGCTGACTCGCAAGAGTAAGGTCGTGGGTTCGAATCCGGCAGGATTCGGCGGGTGCGCGCTAATGAGGAGTCCCAATAGGACGAAACGGCCGTCTACCGCTTTCCTGGGTGTGTGGTGGCTGTCGGCCTGTGTCTAACTGCGACGAGCGTACACGAAACCTAATAAATCTCCCTAATGTTTACAAATAAACTCCAACTTCTTCAGTTTTCACTAACTGAGACATCAGTTCATTAACCTAATAGGTTTCTGGCTCAGTTAAGCCCCTAAGGAGTGCACTGGAGCTCAGTGGGTTAACTCGTGTACTCCTCATGTCAACGTACTTAGTGTTGGTGGGAGTTGTGAAGCCACTTGCTCTGTAAAGTGTTTTGCTTTTACTAGGACTATTTGTCAACCAAATGTTCTTCACCTAATGGAGCCTGTCTGCCTAGGTCAGATCACAAGAACGTTTCGTTCTAATCTTTTTCAGCTATCTCCTTCCCCACGTGGTGTTACTGGAGTTTCGCCCACCAATGTGAACACCAGCACGGAATTCGGTGAGTTATCTCTAACAGGACGCTACACCACTGAGGACCACAAAGTCCTGGCTGTCTACGGTGCACTGCTTGTGGGGGAAAAATGCCGACCACGCGAAGTGCTGAATGTTGTAAGTCAAATTCACAATGCGTCAGCGATTACCTTAAAATGCGCAAAGTAAACTTGCTAATTTAATGGCCTCTGTCTTTTATTGTTTCCAGGAGTTACTGACTCGAATTACAGCCGGCATTGTTAACTGGTTCCTGGACACCATTTACACCACAGAAGGTTGGTTTCAGTGCATTGCTTTGATATGTACTGTCTAGCTGATCCAAATCAAGTGTAATTACACATGAAATAGAGGTCAAGAGCTTTCCATGGCATTGACCATATACAGGACTTGAGCCTCAGTATATTACAAATAGGGGCTAACCGAAATGTCACGCAATCAACCCAGAGGATCGTACGAAATATCCACGGACGTATCGATGAAGAACGTCAGAGTATCGGCTGTTTCCTCGGGAGAATTAGCAGTTTAAAGTAGACACTATGTTGTCGTTTGTAATCAGCCGACATTAATTTGTATAAGAACACCGGTGAGTACTTCTTGGAGGGGAATATGAGTTAATGTGCTTTCAGTGTCAGTTGTAAACTGCGGAAACCGAAGTTTATGTGAGCTTTACCAGTCACGTCACAAGTTCCGTAGACGGGGTTGCTGGCCTGCTATTAAACTCCCATATGATTGCGGTTTGCTCACTCCAGTGCCGACTTATTGAAGCTTCTAGCGAAGACCAAAATTCAGCAGGTTAACCGGTGTACTGTTTATTTCAACGGCGACTGAGGGCGCGTAACCAACATTCGACCCTCGAAAGTCGTGTGTTATGGACACAGAAAATGATCTCATTTACGTGTGCGTTTATGTGACAAGCTAATCATGGTCCTTCTATACAGGAAACACTTTCATTCTTTTAACTGTTTACAAAAGCACTCATTTTCTATCACCTTTCAGCTGGTTCCGTCTATGATGGGCGTGGAACTCTGCGGCAACGATGTAATTGCTGAGTTTTAAATGTTTGCCTTTCACCATCCCTATCATTATTCTAAACAGACCCATGATGAATGTTTTCATACTTTATGTAAACAAGATAGCCTGTTGATTTTCTTGAAACTCCCAGGTTTTGTAACCGCGGACAGCTATTGAGCGCATACTTATCTAGGAAGCTGCAGACAGTTTGCGCTGGATCACTCCCAGCTCCATTCCCACCCCCTTAGTTACTATGTGAGCCAGACGAAATAGGTTTGAGAAACTCGCTGGTGAAAGACCGCCGCCCACTGACATACTAACACATGCATCATCCGCATGCAGGCAAATTTGTAACAGGGCATACCAAGGTTATGACAAAGCACTGAGTTTGTAAGTAGTAGGGGGATTTATTAGGTTTTTGTGTAGATTCGTCGCAGTTAGACAAAGACAGACAGTCACCACACATCCAGGAAAGCGCTTTCCTGGATGTGTGGTGCCTGTCTGTCTGTGTCTAACTGCGACGAATCTACACAAAAAAGCACTGAGTTTGCTGCAGCAACGTGAGCCACGATACATCGCCGTCAATTTATGATCACTTGATTAGTAGGAGCCTGGTGTCGTATGGTCCACAAGTGTAGACCGGAATGTTTCCGGTTCCGAATCCTATTGTTCAGTTAAGTTGGTAGAGTTGTGAAGACCTCCATTTACAGGTAACATCCCCCTGGACCATAGTCATTTGCTATTAATGACCGCCTCCGATACCCTGATAACTGACACACAACACTACATAGTCAAAGTGATCGGTTTATGCGGGTTTCTACTCTTGATAGGTCCGGCTCCTAAGTCTAACCAATCACTTGCACAACGCTCAGCACACTAACATTTTCATCATCATCACTGTGTACGTTGGCTACAGGTGAGAGACATTTAAGTAATTGTGAAGCAACACGATTCCAACTAAATGACATCATAAATGAATGAAAAAGAAAAAGCAAGGCATAAATACCACTACACTAGGTTTTCTGTTATGCTTCGGCAGAGAGATCGTAGTTGGAGAGGGTCTAAGCAGGATATGGGCGCAGCAAGGCAATTGCAAAAACCACCGAGATCGGCTCTTCGCCATGCAAACAAGTGTATCCAAGCAAACTTGTTAATTGTCTTTCAGACCCCAACTCTGGAGTCGGGAGGTTACAACTCGGGCCAGTTACAAAATTTGTGCCCACATTCCTCTTAATTATGTCCTCATTTGGTCTCCGCCCTTCTTCTAACCAGATCAATGTTGTCCAAATAACGCACTTCGCAGGAGTCCGTGTGAGGTCATGCGTAACGTATGACCCAGACATTGGAGACTGGTGAGTGAAATAATGGTGCTCAGCGGTTCACTTCCTCTTTCTGTACCATGAACAAGACGCCGAACACGCGCATTGCTTGCGTACTTTTTCCACCACATACGTGCCAAGCTGCGAATGAGCCGGTGGTCCAACACCAAGTCTCCTTACCTAGATCGATCTGATGAACTAAGTTTCACAACCGTACATCAGAGTTAACCGGATGGCTACACTGTATATTCTACACTTCAACGCGAGAGAGATGTCGCGCCATAGACAGAGGCTGTGAGAACTAGCACACGCTCGTCGATTTTGTGCACTTTGGTTTGTGACCTCATCTTCCATTTCACAGGCACTGATGTATCTGCCCAGGTAGTGGTCAGCGTAGTGAGCGGACCTTGCAAATCCTGTAGGAAGGCTTTGCACTTAGAGAGTGCAAAGCCCATCCCGAAACGGTCGACAGTCAGCGCTACTACGTCCAGTGTTGCTTGGTACGTTTGCGAATTTTCATAGATGTGGGCAATATCGTCCGCATACCCCAAGTCATTAAGTCGACCAACTTAAACCAACTCCACACGTGCCAATTCGTGTCCGGTGAACGCAGTTTTCCTTACTCTGTCAACAACGAAGTGAAAATGGACAGGGGACGTCTGGCATCCTCGTCCCATTATGCTGGTGATATTGTAGTGCAGATACTGTTTGGGCTCAGTCCTACCTCTACCAGAGCAACGCGCATATAACGCTCTGACAACGTTCACGTAATTCTCGGGCACACTTGCTTAAGCAGACAGTCGCAATGGGTACATCGATGCAACGAATCGAAGGCACCTTTGGTGTCGTGCAATACGACTATGGTAAAACGTTCGTATATTTAGGGATGCTCCAACAATTGACGTAAACTAACGATGGGGTTAATGCAGCGCCCACTGTGACGAATCCCGGTCTGCTGTTCACGAATCTGGCTTACATGTGCTCCAGTCAACTGGTAGAGAACGACAGAGGCAAGCAACTTACAGCTAAGTGGGAGCACGCCATATCCTCAATGGCTGCTGCGCTCTGAAAGCGCGCCTGCCTTGACGATCGGGACTTTACCGGAACAGCTCCAGCCGGCTGGGATAGTTTCTTTCTTCTACAATTTCAGCATAGATCGTGTAACTCATCCACAAGAGCAGGTCCTTGGAATATAAAGACGGCTTGGGGAAGTTCATCTGGTCCAGGAGCCAGCTTCAACTTCGACAGTCAGACCCCACGTTCTACCTCTGTGCGAGGGGACGTATCCAAACGGACGGCCGATGGAGTAGCGTAGTCACTGGCCGATATTGAATGTGGAAGTTCCTACCGAGCAAATTGTTTTTCATAGTACTCAGCCAAACATTTCAAGTGTTTCGGTAGGTTACAGATAATCTGTCCAATTCCGCCTCACATAGTTTCGCAAACACCAGGTCGCTTGTTTGCCGTTTACCGGGCCAGACGGAATTATTGTCAAGAGTTATCAAGGGCATCGGCCGTTTCAATCTCTGATGCCCAATGAGATCATCAGGTCTCTTTCTATGCAAACACGTTCTCTGCAGCGGGATCCTTGCGGTATTCTTTTTGGCCACTCCCACACAGACTCTATGAATGAACACGCAGCAGTTCCTTAGGTTACGTAGAGACCTAATATCTATGTTAGCATTTAAAATTGCCATATGAAGACACGCAAATATTCATAAGGTCTAGGGAACATGCGACCAGCGACCTACAACTGTGTTCGATGCACATCTACTCCACCCGAATGCCAGCATATTCTGAGTCGAAGTCCGAACATCTTGCTCCGCCAGATGTCGAGTGTCTATATGCTCACGGCATCTTTGCAGACGTCCACCAAAGCGAACTCGAATGGACACATGTAAGTGCGTGGTCGAAGTCCACGCTTATGCCCCAAATTGGGTGACAGCTTTGGACGCAGCTTCTCCAGAGCTAATAGGTCTGGATTTGGTCGACTTGCGTCCATAGCCGGCCTGAGGCCGTTGCGTGTCATGTGAACCGGTGGAAGAAACTGTGTCGGAAGTTAGTGTGTGTCAGTTGACAAGCACCTCCATACAAATGTAGCGACGGGCTCACCATTATCAGTATGGTAGCCTACACCACGCTGACTTCCCAATGCAGCAGATATGGCTCAGTTGATAACCCTCTATGACAGCCAAAGCACCAAGAAAAGGTTTGAAGGTAACGTGGTCCTCGCTGTTGGTGCTCCGTGTGATGTTTGTTCTGGTCTACGAGACCTGTATGTGGTGGGGAAAAAGCCGGCCCGTAGCCTTAAGGATCACAAGCCTGCCTTGTAATCCGAGGACGCGGGTTTGGGCCTGCGTAGGGACCGGGCGACCCTTGCATTGTCCTTAGCCCACATGCGACTAATGGTGGTTGCACCGCAGCGAAGCTTGACATTGAGTACCGGAGTAGTGCTGAGGCATTATTTATTATTTTGAAGCTAAGATCTTTGTATTGCTTAGTAGGATACTTTCAATTTGCCTGGGCTAAGATAGCAGAGCGATTAAAGTTCCCAACCAAAGCCTTCGGTACAAAAATCAGTTCGCAGGACAACGGGAGCTTGGTAGTGGACTACAGTCGTTTTAAAGGATTAACCTGGCTGAGCAAGAGACTTTTACTGCTCCCTAACCATTGAACAATCTGGTATGTGTGGCTGTGAGGGTGCAACAAGTACCATTTCACATAACTCAGGGGATGGTTGAAGCCATTGCCCTACTCTGAAGTCTAGCGTCATTGTGCTGGACTAACACACAAACGAGTACGTAATGGTTATCCTAGTAGGCAGGATGTGGTGAATGAATAATCAATAGTTCCGAGTGAAAAGCTGAAGAGTTTGATAGCGCATGTGCTTCAAGTATGCTATAAAGCGCACGCAATCAATATGCACAAAAAGTGTACTATCCAGCTGAACAAAAAGCTGTTGTCATTAAGGGGTTCAGGAAGGCACATTATCTACTGGAATCTCATCGTAATGAAGGATGTCGAGGTTCTGAGTGCAGCCGCCTTCTGAGACCACACAACATGAGTCGGACCAGCCGTCCTGACACTGGACCTTATCATCAAAATCTCATATGAGGTTACTGTGTCAACAACCACGGATTTCGTTGTCACATTGTCTCTGCCGCGAATTATCATCCGTACTGACGACAAAGTATGAAGTCGGGATTACACCACGGGTATAACGTGTCCCAATTGTGATTGGAGTAGTTAGCTGGAATGAACGGAGTGGATGGGAGAAAGGAAAGTGACACCTAATCGGCTTTGAGCTCAGTGTGCTTTGTCGGATGACAAGCCACCGATAATCGTCCGCCTATCCGGATTTGCCGATTGGTGGGAAAATGTGGCCATGCTCCACCCACTCCTATGGTTCCGTCATTCCTCTGAATCCAGATGCACGCCGAAAAAGTCCTTTGTGAGTGCGGTTCAGCAATGGGTGCGAGAACTGAAGGGTCTAATTCCAGAGGAAAGATTAACAATATGCGGGCACTGTGAATGCCACATTTGCTATCCGCTTCACTGTCTCAATTTGTTGGATAAACCGTGTGACTAAAGAACCGGTTAGTGAGACACCAACATTTTGTTTTTTCTAGAAACTCAACCATTTTATCATTCATTGGCAAGGTCAAGAGGTGACAGCAGTCAACAGTCGGCTATGCGCAGTCCGAGTAAGAGGTTCATGTAATGTAAACAGGCGTCAAGACGCTAAGCGTGCCTTGTTTGTCGTCTCCGCCTACGCCGCTACAGACTGCAGTCCGGATGCCAGAATGCCAGAGATTGCTCCACTTGAATTCTGGTACAAATGGGGTCGCACATTTGGAAGCCAGGGATGAGCAACACTTCTGCCACCCTGCCACTTCACAATCTGATGTGCCCATCGGACCTGAGGATGCGACGGCAGAAATCAATGGCAGTCACTTTACGCAGATTTGATGCACGATCATCGCACATAGATAGACGCCACGAAGCAATACTCCAACCTAGTCCAGAATGTCGCAGAATCGCCAGAGCTGCCCTAAACCTCAAGTCAGTCACTAACTCAGCATCTAGAACAATGTGCCTTGTGCCAAGCAGGAAAGAAAGCATTACAGTTATAATGCGGGGGAAAAACGGACAGACAGCGTGTGTCATTTAAAAACTGGGAACATGGTGTGCGTAAGAGACCTCCGAGGTGGTGGTCGACAGGAAGAATGGTCCTCGGCAAGGGCCGAGTCAATTATGAGCTAATGGTAGAAAATGAAAAATGGGCCAGGCACGCCAATCAGCTGAGACCGAATCACGGCAAGACTCAAAGTCCCCCAGAACCGCGATTCCTACCATGAGACATCCTGCTAGACACGTTTTGTTTGGAAGACGAAGCTGAGCGGATACGTGGATCACAACATAAGATGCCAGCAGCAGATGACGCACAATGCAGACCTACCCGAAAGCGGAGACGACCACCGTGGTTGCAAGTTGATCCCGAAGCAAAAACCTAAGAACAAAGTCGAGTTCGAACGGTACGCTGGCATACTCAGTTCAAAAGGGGAGATGATAGATGCGTAAAAAAAGCACGTAGGCTGTCGGCAACATACAAAGGTCAGCAGCACGGGCATGCTACGAGCTTTGACCTTTCCGCTGAATTTGCAAATCGAATGGGGATTGGTAGACCAACAAATACCAGCCCGCGTCAAACCCATCGAACTATTTCATCAATATGATAAACCCGTGGAGCGTGATTCACTCACACTGGCTGCAAACCAGACGCAGCAGAGTGTGTGACACTGAATTAGTAAATTAGCGTGTTTCGTTTACCAATAGTTACAGTTAACCTATTCTGTATATATACTCTCTCTGTCTACCGACTTCGGACATTTTTTTATTCCTTCGATTGGCTTGGCGCGTGACTGAGCAGTCAGACAGTCGCAATCACACAGGACAGCAAAGCAGCAGTAGAACAGTTGTCAGCAGCAGAGAACAGAGGCAAAGACGAAGCGTTACAACAGACTGTGACCTCGATTCGCAGTAGGCGCAGAATAAAGATGCCTTAGTTTTCGCCGGTATCGACACTTGTGTAGTTGCCCTCCACCCACGGAAGCATTGGATTTCCGCCGACTCATTGTCGCTGATGGACAAAAGCCGCTTGATCCCGTCGGATTCCAACCACAGTGAAGAACGCCAATCCCTGGGTCGAGAGTTGCGCCGGAGTCTGCAAATGGACCGCGAAGCTTGGGGGTCTGAATGTGCTGGGGAGATGGAGCGTGCTAGTCTCTCTGGTAATACCAGTAGATTTTTCCATCTCATTCGAGTCACCCAAGGTGTTCGATTTGGTATAAGTGAAGCAACAATCAAAGAGAATGGTACCTTAATCACCAATCTTCAATGATGGTTGGAACGATGAGCCGAACATCTTGGCTCGCAGTTTTGTTGGCTCCTAGCTCCATCTGCTTCCTCAGGCACTCGCACTAATGCCGAGTCGTCGGCCCATAAAGGCCTTCCTCCTTACCAGGAAATCGAGCAGGAGCACCGCAACATACAGCGTTATAAAGCCCCGGGCCCTGATGGGCTTCCACCAGCTATGTTTAAAGATGGTGGCACTTCGCTGGTTCGAGAGCTCACTACTTGGTTTGCGAAAGATTGGTCAAAAGCGAAACTTCCATCATCTTGGGGTGAATCGATAGTCGTCTCCATCTTCAAAACGGGTCTGCGCACAATCTGCTCCAACTAAAGAGGCATAAGCTTAGTCCCCATGGTTTGCAAGCTGCTGGTGTCCACCATACTTCGCAGACGCTTCCCAGTGCGTGAATCGTTAAGGCGAGAATAACAAGCTGGGTTTCGCCCTAGTCGCGGCCGCATCGATCAAATCTTCACACATCGCCAGAACTTTGAGCCCCGCCATGTGCATCAGAAGCCAACGATTGCTGCGTTCGTGGATATCCGTAAATCCTTCGATTCTGTCGATCGGACTGTACTGTGGCAATGCCTGCTGAGGAATGGCGTCCCATAGAAATTCGTTTTCCTACTGCGTGGTAAGTACAGTCGGACTCCGAGTAGACTTAGAGTTTTGACAAGCTTTCGTCTTCCTTTGTGGTCTACAGTGGAGTTCGACAGGGATGCCCTATCTCCCCATTTCGCTTCAATTTTGCCATTGATGATATCCACAAAAATACTCTATAATACTCATTATAGGCTGACGTTGAGCTCCTCCTAGGTAGTCGAGTAGCTGACTTGGATTACGCTGATGATATCATGTTGGGTGACGGTCCGCAGGCCGTCCACCTTGTACTTAACCACTTGACGATTGAAGAGTCAAAGTATGGCATGCACTTTTCACCGTCCAAGTGCAAAGTGCTTTTACAAGACCGGCAACTGCCTATAACTTCTCTCACTCTCGGTGGTGAGACACTGGAGGTTGTGGCGAGTTTCGTCTACCTAGGAAGTTCCATCACTGTTGATGGAGCTGTTGGAGATGATATTTCAATGCACATCTCAAAGGCTCGTGTTGCCTTCTCAGGCTGAGGCACTTGCGGCGCCGCCACGACATCCGTCTCTCCATCAAAGAGCGGGTCTTATGTGCAACGGTTCGTGCTGTACTCTTGTACGGATGCGAGACGTGACCTGTTCGAGCCACTGACCTGCACCAGCTGTCAGCCTTCAAGCACCGTTGCTTGTGGTCCATTGGCTGTGTGTGGTGGCGGCGCCACGTAAGCAATATGGAAGTTAGACAGCGTGTTTTGGAATGAGGTAGCCACTTGACTGAGCAGCACGTTCCACTGTATCAACTGTGGTGGCTGGAACATGTATTGCGCATGCCTGTCCAGCGTTACACGCGTCGTTCGTATTTTTGCATTGCTGAACAGGACTGGAAGTGACGGTCTGCTGGACAGTCTGAAACTTGGAGAAGCCGCAAGAAAATGCTGAGGAATCAGTCTGTCTCGGCCGCTTGTTGTCGACTCCTTGATTGGGTTCCGACAGATGCGGATAATTTCGCGTTGAAGGCTCAAATCGATGCAAAAATTTCAAAAACGGAATAGCAAACGGGACAAGAAAACTTTTGTTGTTGTTATTTTCTTATTATTCATGCTCTTTTCTTATTCAACCATGATTCCGATGGCACAATATTTGTACCACAGATTATATATATATATATATATATATATATATATATATAGCTGTCCACTTTCCTTTTCACCAAGCTAACGAATCCGTGTCATTGTTTTTGCGCTAGAAGCACGCTGCCAACTCAACTGTGTTGTACTTCTCCGGTTAGTGAATGTGTTATCGTTTGCATTTGTTGTGCGTCGGAATCGTTTTCCTACCTATCCCACCTTGGTTTTTGTATTAACCATGCTTCCATGACCGCTTGTTCCGTTGTAGACGAACTGGGAGACTTGTTGGAAAAAGTGAAGAGCGAAGTAAGTGTGGTGTATATTCTTCAGATTTTTGAGTGGTATAGTCGCTTGCTATGCATGTTTTTCTAACTCGACCAATGCTTAATAATTTACCGTCTGTATTATGTGTGCTGTTCTAATGGATTCCGGACTGGAGTGTGTTCGAATGTAAATTATACTAAAAGGAAACAGCTACTTAGTCCCTCTGCGTCACCGGCAACGTGTCATTCATAATTGCCGAGTGTATCAGATATGCAACCTACTTGTGTCATGCAATCCAGCAGGGAAATAGTGGCACAATTCGGATAAAAAATTGGTAAAAAGGCCCTTTATATAGTCAAAATGTGAATCACAGGAAAGACAAACAAGAATAGGTGAAAAATTGAAAAGTGTTTTGGTGGGCGCAACAAAGCGTCTACACCGAGGCATGCAAAATAAATAAATAATACTATGTCAGCTGTACGCCGTAACGGCGCTTCGGTGCCGCGCAACCACCACCAGTCGCACGCGGGCTGAGTATACCGCGAGGACGCCCACCCCTACGCGGATTCGAACCGGTGATTTTATGGTTGCAAAGCAAACCTGCAGACCACTCAGCCACCGGCCGACACCGAGGCATACAGAAAAGAGTCAACCTCCACTGTGTAGCTTGATACTGCTGGTTGTGCAACGTTCGCCACATTACATCGTCTGCCGATGTACACTGGCTATATCTCGTAAGGTAGTTAAAACAACGTGAAGGCGATATCTCGGAACATATTTGGAACCGATAGGGAAGTCATCATTTCAGAAGACTTGGCAGACGACCAGTTAATATATTTATGATGATACACAACGTTTCGGTTTTGACTCTACATCGCATGCAGTGGGCCAACATGGGGGGGGGGAGCTGTCTGCCCCGGTAGGCATGTGACAGGCGGCGACATTTCCACTACGGTAAAATGTTCGATAACACATATAAAGAGCAAAATATCCGGATAAGCGGACGGTTGGATATTCTAATGTTACTCCACACGACAAATAAAATTTTTTGCGCCATGTGTTCAAACGTTCTTTCCAGCAAACCCCTTGTCCCTTTGTGGTCACTTTTATCAGATTTTCCTCAGCAGCCCAAACTACCATCCATTTCATCGGAGACTAATGTGCACTGCACTCTGGGCCGATTGTGTGACCTTCACGTGCCTAATCTGCCCTCAGCCAAGGCAAAAGCTTGGCGACCGTCCTTGGTGCCACATATGGTTCCAGATGATCGGCTAAGACCTTAGAGATGATTGCCTCCATTACCTTTGAAAGTGTAGGGAGTAGGACTACTGGACGATAGATTGAGGCTTCCAAGTGAGTGTCACTTCTGAAAATTGGCGTGATTAGACCATGCTTCCACATGCTAGGCACAACTTGCTTATCGAAGCACGTTTGGAAGAAATGCGAAATTGGTTCGGCCAATGTTGTTGCTGCTACGGTCAGCGCTTTCGTGCGAGTGTCATCGTTTCCGGGAGAACTGTACGGTGTGCCCGATATGTTTGGACACATCTCCGCAGTTCAGCCATGATTAGTGTAAGCGCCAAAATTGCTGAGAGAATAGCCAAACAACGAGTAAGCAACCGTTCCTCGGCCTCCAAGGTTGATTGAATAATCGACAAAGACCGGTCGACATTAGACAACGCGTGCTATCTTACAAATAATAATTACGCTAAGTACAAACTACTTCAACACTTTTTCAACAAAATGGGTAAACGCGGTTACCATTCACAGCGGAGTGACCATCCGGTCACAAAGACAGTAGACAAAATGAAACAACAATAGCATCAAGCGCATAATGATGGCATGGTCAACGGAAAAATCAGACATCCACGGCTGAGAGTCCGATCACAGTGCTAAAGGAAGTGGTTTGAAAGCAGGTATATGTGGAGGCGAGAAAACGCTAGTGGGTCAGTCATGCCTATCCTGAAGGTAGGACGACATGCGTTGGGGTAGCACATGATGAATCAGACGCATGTAGGGATATGAAAACGTAAGGCTGATGCGGTGATTAAGCACCCAGCGGGAGGCTGCACCGTAGCAGCAGGCACATACAGAAAAACAATCGATAAGGTAGAAATCAAACAAATGGGGCACGGATATGGTGGTTGAATGGATGCAACTAAGAGTTCGGGCCTTGGGGATAAAAGGGCACGTAGAAATGGGCATAAATTTGTGCGTGGAAAAGCAGCTGGTTTTCAACGGTAATTGTTGTGTCGGACACTACTAGAGTAGAGAGTAGGCCAATCTCCAGCGATCAAGATCGAGGAGGGCGAATACGCGATGAATCGGCGTTTCTTCTGAGAGAAAAACTTGGATCAATCGCGGGTGCAGTATTCACACCGTACAGCCTACACTAGCCGAATACGCGTTCAATTATGGGTCCCGCTTTTAAATCAACACTGCTCTGTTGATCGATATCTTTCCGGTACGTTAGACATCAGCTGGGCTGACCATGGGCTCAGCTCGTTTTGGATTTTTGGGGCAGTTGGTTGAGTGAAAGTGATTCACGTGCTCCGCTGGTTTGCCACGCATCGCAATGAGGCTGGACCTTACCGTGGTGCGACGGTTTGTGTGCCTCAGTGATCCATTGAGCTATGCTGGGTGGTGCATTTTTGCACCTTCAGAGTCACTCATACCAGATTGGTCAATGGTTAGAGGCCAGACAGACTCAGCCTCCTGGCCCTCCAGGTTGGGGGTTGGAATGAGAGTGGCACCTTATTCCTTAAAACGGACTCTTTGTAGCCCAGTGCCAAACCTGTCCGCAAGGCCCTGTCTAGGCCTGAGCAACCTGACAGTATCCTGCCCACGCAATACTAGGAATCTCACTTCAAACAAATTTCTGATGCTCTGGCCACCGCAGTGGAGAATCAACGGTGCCCTATCTGCTGCATCGAGCAGGGTGGATAGGGGTTTGGATGCTACCGCTCAAGCCTTACCGTCTTTTTATTCCCCATCTTACGCCTTTTCATCCTTATCGTCCCGTTCCAACTTCACTTTTATCCCCCCTGTTATCAACCCCCAATTCTCGGCCCTCCCCCACCTTGCTTCAATAGTCGTGTCTTTAATTTCAACTCACATGTGAACGCGAAGCGTCATTCCTGCCCTGTCAACAGGCCCATGTCCAACCAAGCGGTCCATTCCAGTTCATCGGCTTCCATTTGGAGCCCTCGATCCTCCTTCAGATTGGCATGCCTCAATGTACGCACATTATTACCGACCGGTCAACAGGCAGCACTTGCCCGAACATTGGGGACCCTCTCGATCGACATCTACTGCTTATCGGAGACCCGCCTGCAAAACTCCAGCTCTGTGCTCACTCTGCGATCCCCTTCAGGTGACACTAGCAACACTTTCTCATTGCGCCTATCCGGTGACGATGCAGCTTCAAGCACCGGCCAAACTGGTGTTGGTATTGCGCTGAGTTCCCGGGCTGAAGCTGCTCTGGTTGATTGGATTCCAATCAGTAGCCGGATATGGGCGGTCCGATTGGCTGGCTCGTTCAACATTTCAAAGTCGCGTGGGACTAACAGGTGTCTATTTGTTATCGCAGCCTATGCACCGACAAACTGTAGCGATGACTCGGTAAAAGACGACTTCTATCGCCAACTGAACGAGCTCCTTTGCCACAGAAGAAGCACGGACACTGTTGTGCTGGCGGGGGATATGAACGCACAAGTTGGAAAGTTGTCCGCTGACGAAATGCATCTGGGCGGTCAGCACGGTAATGATAACGGTGAGCGGTTACTTCATTTGTGTGAGGATGCGCGCTTATTTCTTGCGAGCACTAATTTCCGACACAGCACCCGCCGGAGGGTGACTTGGCGCCCACCAGCCTCGAACCAGCTATGGACGCAGATCGATCACAGTGCGATAAGTTACCGCTGGAGAGGCTACGTCCAGAACTGTCGCTCGATTTGGAGCACAGGTGTTGACACCGACCATGCAATTGTATGTGCTGACATACGGATGCGCTTTGGCGGAGGCCCACGACGACGCTGTGAGCGCATTGACACCGGCAGACTGGCGAGGCCAGCTGTTCTGAATGCCTATCAAATTACGCTGTCATCCGAGTTAGATAAACGCTCACTGGATGCAGTTGATGGTCGCTGGTCTCATATTCACCAGGTCTTACTAGCAACAGGCAAATCCTCACGTGGTATGTCTAATCGCCAACATGGACGTTTTGTATCTTCACAGTCTCTGGAAGTTATAGATGCTCGCCGGTATATTCCGGCTGGAAGCGAACACAATGAAACTTGCAAAGAGCTCCGGGCGAAACTCCGTGCTAGCCTGAAGAGAGACCGCGAATCCTGGTGGTCTCATCATGCAACAGAGATGGAAATGGCCGCTGCCCTTGGTAACCATAGTAAGTTATTCCGTCTGATACGGGAAACGGGCAGCAGGAGACCTGGTGTTAGTGAAACTATACGTGACGAGAGTGGACAGCCTATCCACAACTTGTCAAAGCGCTTGGAGCGTTGGGTTGAGCACTTTGAAAGGCAATTTAATCGGTCGGAATGGTTAGATTTCTCGCTGGCCATTGATCGCCCTGCTCCGTGGGCTGTCCGTTTGGATCCACCCTCTCGCTCAGAAGTCGAAACTGAGATCGGACTGTTGAAGTTGAACAAAGCCGCGGGATCAGATGATCTTCCTCCAGCCCTCTTCAAATTCGGGGGACCTGCTCTTGTGGATAATTTACACGAATTGTTAGTGAAACGGTGGGAGCATGAAACTGTCCCAATCGACTGGAGCCACTCCGTCATAGTCCCAATTTTTAAGGGAGGCTCAAGATCGGAATGCGGCAGCCATAGAGGAATCTGTCTGATCTCCGTCGCCTCCAAATGGCTTGCCTCTGTCATCCTTCACAGACTAACTGGCACTCGTGAAAGCCAGATTCGTGAAGAGCAAGTCGGGTTTCGTCGAGTTCATGGCTGCATTGACCACATCTTCACTTTGCGTCAGTTGTTGGAGCACGGTCACACATATTAGCGGCCTACCGTTAT